TTAGGAAAGATTTTATCTTGATTTTGCTTTTAATTAAATTAGACCTGTGATTTTTATTGGTGCAGGGAACTCCTGCTCCCCAATATACTGTTTTAGAGAATTGCCTATGGCCCTGAGAGAGTAACTCACTTATTCAGGCACTACAGGCTGAATTTGAACTCAAGTCTTCTTGACTCTTAAGCTGACCCTAAGCCTGCTACATCACACTACCAAAGTTACTTGGAGTCTCAAGCACCAAACTCTCAAGCAGAGGGAACAAGCGATGGTCAGAAGCAGAATCAAACGCATGGACTTGTGAACTAGATGAAACAGATACTCAAAACAGGAATGCACAATGTAAGAAAGAGCTTGCCAAATTGTAGACACAGTCAGAAGGACTATACGTGACTGGTCACAACAAATCTTATTCTTCTTGTGCTTCTGCAGGGGAGGGAAGGGAACTATCTGGGAGTCTTCATTAATGACATTCAGCCACCTCAATTTAGAGATAAGGAAACAGGAAGTTTAAATGACTTGCTCAATGCGCCATAAGGAGTCAGGATTAGCTCGGAATCTGAAGCTAGGTCTTCTGATTTCACCCCCATTGATCTCTCCTTTGTACTACACTATTGTATACACTATCTTCTTTGGCTTTAAAAGGACTTATATTGGGGAAATTCTATCTGGTGATAAAATATAGCTCTATTTATTTAAGACTTCAGTGTACTTGAAAGCAAAATGATCGAATAGGAAAATATGGTATAAAGTATATTTGCCAAGCACTCAGGCTATTTGTACCAAGAGCTAGCCTTGTTTAGGGGTAGTAAGGTGGCTCAGTGGATAGAGCACCAGCCATGGAGTCAGGAGGACCTGAGTTCAAATCTGGTCTCAGACATATAACACTTACTAGTATGATTTTGGGCAAGTCAATTAACTCCATTGCCTACAAAAAAAAAAGAAAAGAAGAGCTAGCCTTTTTTAAACCTCAAAGCAAATTAGAAATGCCAGATTGTCATTATCATTAATCAATCAATCAATCAATCATTATGTATGTAATAAGAACCTACTACTATCTGTTGTAAGTATTGCGCTAGACAATGTAGATATGAAGATAAAAGTGAGATAGTCTCTGACCCCAAAGAGCCTTCCTTTTATTGGGGGCAAGAGAGGACAACAACATATAAATATATACAAATTAAATACATAAACATAGGGAAATTTGGAGGGCAAAGGTATTGACAGCTGGAGGGAGTAGTCAAGAATTGTTTCATATACAAGAGGAGGTTTATCATTATCATCGCTGTCATCATTGTCATCATCCTCATCATCACCATCACCATCTTTTCTACGATTATATATTTATTTATCTTTACAAATCACTTAATCTCCTTTGACACTGTTTTAACCATATATGAAATGAGAACTATGTAATGCCAGAACTGTGTTGGGGAAAAAAAAGTTTATAAAGAAAAATCACCCTTCAGAATAAGTATTATCATATACAGATTTCAAATCTGCTAGGTTATATTGCTAGCATTAGTTAAAAAAAGATTAAAGGAGCCTAGAATGTCAATAGGTTCTTTTCTTTAATCCCATTGGTAAGTCAAGAAGAAAGATAAAGAGAGAAAGGAAATAGAATGTGAGAGTGAATGGGAACTGATGACCCAGTAGACAAACTGGACATGGTGGGGTTAATGAAGAATGGATATGATATTTAGCATAAGTACGCAAAATGACATAACCAAGATGGAGGGATTGTTCTCATTAGTTAGCAATGATGATCAGAAATAATGGCTATAGACTGAAAGAAGAAGCACTTATTTACAAAGTAGAAAATGGTTTAACTGAAAGATCAACAGAGTAATAGGGAGGAAAAAACTCTGAGAGGATGTGAAGAAATGAAAATAGCCTGAAATGTTCAAATTGTGGCATTGAACACCAATTGGACCTATTCTGTACATATCAGAATTCTTCAAAATTCAGCAAGAGCTGCTGAGAGGTGGTGCCTTAATAGGGGCCCCTTGCTGCCCCAACTATTCAATGATGCTATGATATTATATCAAGTTTCACTAAAATACTGTCCAGGAAAACGGTTTCCTGCACTCTATAAAAGAGCAACATTGTGTCAATAATGGCTGACAATTGAAGGAAATGACTATTACTCTTGAACACAAAGAAGACCTGCCCCTCCCTTTTCCTCTTTCCCAGAAAGAAATGTGGAAAAACAAAACAACAACAAAAAAAGCTATTGACCATTGAAACGGGAATTAAAGAATCTGCAGGTGTTGGGGCATTCTTTGTGCATTATAGGTGTGCCTCTCCTGACCAGTAATTGATCAGACCTAAGAACTTGAAAGAGGTTTAAGGAGGCGTGGAGATGAGGGTAGGGGGATAAGGAGAGGATTTACTTGTTCTGATTTAACACATGAAAACCCTGTGAATTAAAGTAGGATTTGTGTAAGATAATATCCTTTCTGAGATTTTTCCATGAAGTCAGGTTACTATGGATTCACTTTAAACTATAAAAAGAAATACAAATTTGAACCATCATTGCCCATACATGCATACATATTTATGACTTTCTTCAAGGAAAAAAAATTCTCAGTGGCACCAAATGGGAATTTCTATTATGACATAGAGGCTTTTCTTTTCTCAATTACTGTGTGTTACAAGATGAGTCAAAAAGATCAGAAGTGCCTGCTATGAATGTCTACTGTATGTGAGTCATTGCTTACCAATGCCTACAATGCAGAGTATAGCCCATGCCTTCCCCACAAAGAGTTTGCATTCTAGTTGGAGTATCAGCCAATTAATCAAGAGGCGTTTATGAAGTGCCAAGTATGTTCTAGGCACCGTGGGAAACCCTGGACATATGAAGTCAAAAATGAAACTGTCCCTGTCCTCAATAAGCTTACATTATATTCCATCAGTGCATATAACATTTTCACATATGAGTATATATGTATCAAGAGTTTAGAAAACAATGTCAGATGTTGCGATCTGAAAGGTTGAGACCTCTCAAAGACCAGAGTACAGGATGGGGTCATCTGGAATGAATTCACAGACTCAAGTCAAATTGGCAAAGATTTATTGTTACATACAGTAGGCAAAGATTCTTAAGGAACCTGTGAGAGACTGAGGATGGTGCTGACATTTATATGGAAAAGGAGCATGGGAAAGGAGTGCCAGGGATACTAATTAGGTACTATAAAGGTCCAGGTGTCTTTGGGAGCTAGGATGGGAAAGTGTAGGGAGTATACCGGACATTGAGGGAGTTGTTGGAGGCATGGAGCTTGGGGATCTGGCAGGAGGAAGAGTCCTTGGGTCAGCCAGAGACAAAAATCCTTGGGCCTAGACACCTCTCTCTCTGTCCTGATAAGAGAATGTGTTCCGCAATAAGAGAAAATTTTCCCACAGGGCAGGAGACTACTAAGAAATTGGGAGGCTTCCAGAGACATGATCTTAGGGCTGGGGTCTGAGTAGCCCATCACTCTTTCACCCAGCTTTGTGTAACTGTACCAGGGAGAGATAAGTGTCTTGCTGGGGCCCAGTCATGAGTAATTGCTAGGCACAGTGCCCTTGGGCTAGGAGGAAACTGCCAGGGATAGTGTTTCTGAGGCTAGGAGAACTATGGTTTTTTGAATTGGGATCCCAGTACAAGCACCCAAGCACCCATCACCAGACACTAAAGAACCATGCAGAGAATATAATAGATATAATGAATCAGTCTTTTTAGACATAACTAATATAGAAGTATTGTCAGACAAAGTGTAGCAACAATATTAACTTCTGTTATTGCACAAAGGACTTATGTAGATCCATATTGAATTGCTTGACTAAGAAACAATAATATTTCATTACTGATCATCTAAACCTGGCTGGGTTGTGATCCTCCTTTGAATGGAGGTCATAGGGATAAGGCTGAGGTGGAAGTGGTGGTGTCAGGTCTCTTACCTGAATACCATCTTGACTCAACAATCTAACTCGAATAATATAAAGCTGAAATCGATTAAACTAAGGTGAAATGCAAACCCCCCCCCCCGGTCTATGTATCCTTCTTGATGTCAGGATTTTTGTGATGGTGTTTTTGTTTTTTTATCATCTTCCACACAGTGTTTTGCATATTGTAGTTGCTCAATGAATATTTGAATGAATATAATTAAAATGACATGCTAACATCAGAAAACTAATACCAGTATTGATCTGAAAGTCAGAATTCAGAGGAAAAGAGAGTGGAGGGGAGGTGGGGATCAAGTCAATTTAATGCAGGTCAAGGCTAGTACATAAGAACTCAGAGTTCAGGACAGGCTACAAGTACTAAGGCCTCAGCATGTGCTGTTTATTTCAAGGATTAGAGCTTGGGTTTGTGAATGACTTGGGCTTTGCCCTCCAGTGCTAAATTGAGAGGAATCAGACAGCATTTGCATTCTTTCTATTGCTTAGAAACAGAGCTCAGGGTCTAGTTAACAAGAATACTTAATTAAAATAGGAATCATCCATATAATTGGCATGGGTGAACACCTCCCTATCTTGCCCTACTCAAAACTGAAGGGCTTTGCACCATATGCCTTAGCGCTGTTTACCGTGCTTGCCTTCAGTTTGGTAGGCAGCCTAACACCTCTTATCTCTTACTATTTCAGAGCCTCCCAAATGCTGAGCTAGCTCTGGCAATTCATGCATCAACCTCATCCTTTATGTGGACATCTTCTCTATCCTTCATCACCTCCCTATTTTCCAACATGGCCATGAGCACTTGGTCAACAAATGACCCTGTTTACTGGCCCTGGCCTGCCTGTCTACCTATGCCCATCAGCCTATGTGGATACTTTGACATCTTGACCATTGACCCAGCCCATAGATATACCACTGTCTGGGTATCAAGCACTATAAAACTAAGGCCCTAAAAGGGGCATCTCAGATCATGAGGAAGATCTGGGATCCTCCTATTCATTAAAGGGGGCCAGGCCCCTTTAATAAATGGTTCTTGTAACAGAGCTCTGCCTCAGTGGTTTTTCTTGCAGATTGGACATTTTGAGGCCCATAATTATGCAGGCCCTTGAACTGAATGTTGAAGGGGAATAGAGATGTCAAGATTCCAAGAGACAATAATGAGGTAGGAATCCATTCCAGGCAATTGAGAAAGCCTATCAGGAGTGGCACCTGTTTTATGTGGGCTAGGCTGGTTTCTCTAGAAGGGCGGAAGGAGGCTGTTCTTGGGATCATCATTTGTTTGGCTTCCTTGCTACCTGAGGCATAAAAGGGGATTTGGTGTTTGAGGGGAATTTAGAGAAACTTGCCAATTGCCCTTGAGGAATGTCTTTCTTAGTGTCTCTGATTGATTCTGACTGCTGTCATTAAAGCAGAGGCAGAGGGAAGTAATCTTTTATTTGAACTTAACTAGAAAGTGTGTCCTTTTAAACCATAAGTAAAATTGTTTGTTTGCTTTTTTTAAATTACATTTTCTGGTCCAGGAAGATCTCACTGCATTCTAAACCTTAGCATGAAATGTTGGATGGCTTGAGCTAGACCTAGCTAAGAGTTCCTCTCAAGGCATGGAGGGAGGAGACAGAATGTTGTGCACTGGGGACAGTGAGTAGGCCAATTTGTCAGGAAAGTAGAATATATAAGGGGAAATATCCTTTATTATTACACAGACTCATAATGTATCAAAGCACCACAAAAGAATGCAATCTATTGGTAGTCTTGACTGACCAGCCAGAGAATCAGTGAGAATAAATATAAAACAGTATTATTTTCTTAATTTGTGGTAATCATGTTGTTATTTTAAACCGACACTGCCTATGGCATGAGTACCCATTGTTTAATTGGGTTGAACATTGGTACCTTTGATGGAAAATATACAAGTGTGTGATGGTGAATTTACAAATGCATAAGCATAATGAAAAAATTGATTTAATTAATATTTTTGAAAATAACTATGTAAAGTGATAAATGTTGGGAAAGATACAAAGTTTAGATAATATAAGCTTATTTACCTTTAAGGTTTGCTAAGCATTTTGAATTCATGGTATCATTTGACAAGCCTGTGAGGCTAATATGATCCTTATTTTAAATACTTTCTTGTATTTTGTTTCAGTTAACAAGTATTTATTTTTTCTCCCACATCCTTCACTTAATTTTTTTTTAAATCTTGTAATAATTTGTATAACCAAGTAAAATACATTCTTTCATGGTCATATGTTATATGTGTATAATACAGAGAGAGTATGTATATGTATATGATGTACATATAGATGTATATATGTGTGTGGGTCTTATTCTACATCTTTATATACTCTGTAAACTCTGTGTGTGTGTGTGTGTGTGTGTGTGTTCCTGTGTGTGTCTTATTCTGCACCTTTAGTTTACTACCCCTTCTGTCAGGAGCTAGACAGCAGGCTCTATCAGTGGTCTCAGGAATTGTACTTGACCATTTTACTTATCAAATTTCTTAAGTAGTTCACTTTACAATGTTATGTAAATTGTTCTCCTACCTCTGTTTACTTCACTCTGCATTAGTTTGTATAGGTATTCCTAAATTAGTCTGAAATCAAGCCATTCCTCACTCCTTATAGCACAGTACCATTGCATTCCATTCATATAATTTGTTGGGCCATTTCCCAATTGATGGGCAAATCTTTAGTTTCTAATTCTTTCCCACGCATGCATATTTTACTTTATTGCACTTCACTTTATTGTGGTTCACAGATACTGAATTTTTTAAATTTAATTTAATTAATTTCTTTATTTGCTTTACAAATTGAAGTTTTGTGGCAGCTCTGTGTCAAGCAAATTCTATCAGCACCATTCTTCCAACAGCATATGCTCACATCATGTCTCTGTGTCACATTTTGGTAATTCTCACAGTATTTCAAATCTTTTTTATTATCATTGCATCTGTTATGATGATCTGTGATCAATGATCTTTGATGTGACTAGTAATTGTTTTGGGAGGGCCATGGTCCTGCCCATATAAGAGGGCAAACTTAATCAATAAATGTTGTATGTGTTCTGACTGCTCCACTGACCAGCTGTTTCCCCTTCTCTCTCCCTCTCTTAGGGCCTCCCTATCCCTGAGACACAACAGTTTTGAAATTTGGCCAATTAATAACCCTACCATGGTGTCTAAGTCTTCAAGTGAAAGGAAGAGTCAATCAGTGGGACAACCTTCATTGTTGTCTCATTTTAAGACATTGCCATAGCCACCCCAATGTTCAGCAACCACTGACCTTATCAATCAGCAGCCACTCACTGAAGGCTCAAATGATGGTTAGCATTTTTATCAATAAAGTATTTTTAATTAAGGTATTAAATTTTAATTAAAGAAAAATGCTATTGTATACTAAATATGGTGTAAACCTAATTACTACATGTACTGGGAAACCAAAAAAATTCATATGACTTCCTTTATTGTGATAGTCATTTTATTGTGGTGGTCTGGAACTGAACCCACAATATTTCTAAGGTACTCCTGAACCCAAAGAAATGTTATGAATATTTTGTACATATTGTCCTTTTCACTGTGAATTTGGGTCAGGGCATTAAAGAAGGCAATTAGAAACAATGCCCCGAAAGTCAAAAATTATACACACCATTTAACCCAATGATACCACTACTAATCCTATACCCCAAAGAGATCAAAGAAAGATTATTTTACAGACAAGAAAATAGACACACAGAAAAAGTAAATGTTGGCTCTATAGATAGACAGCTAATATATGTCAGAGGTGGCATTTGAATCCAAGGCTTTCTGATTCCAAGTCCAACACTTCTACTACTCTTTGTTGCCTGTCCATGATCCTTTTTCTAGTAGAGGTTACAGTCTATTATGGAAGATATTATGTACACATGCATGCATGTATGCATACACACACATACATTCACACACACATACACATGCCTTTATAGATATATTACAAAGTTACATGTGATAAGCACATTAAAAACGTACATAAGTAATTGATACATAGATTCTAAAGGGAGAAATAGTTGTTTCTGTCTAGGTTAGTCATGGAAGAAGAGGAGATGGCTTTTTGGAGGTGCATCCATACACCCAAATTATACTACATTTGTATTAAATTAACAAATACAGCAAGGAAAGATTATTTCTTTTATTACTGAATGAATATTTACCTATTTCTTGAAACACTTGAACTGCATACCTATCTTCATGTTGTTGTTGTTGTTCATTTATTGTTTTTGAAGACCAATGACATCACAGATGACTTCTTATGTGTTATTAAATTTAAGTGAGGCAGAGTTGTGTAAAGTCATCAATTTCACTCTCTTCTTTAGTCATCAAAGTCCAGTGGCAGGATAAAAGTCAAGATGACTGGTGATGGCCCAGGATGTGATGGATGACTTTGGCCTGTATTGTCTGCCCAGGCTCTAATCATACAGTTGCCTTCATGGCCATTGGAGAAGTTGTTCTCATCCACCCATTCCCACATTATTACTCACTGAACTGGACATTTTGTTCTTTGGTGAGAGTATGTGGTCCCAATGATAGACACCTCAAATTTTCCCAGATTTTTCACTACTATTTTCTTAAAACAAACAAACAACGACAACAAAAACCCACTAGTTTTATTCAAGCCCCTGGAACAGTCTCTATTACTACAAATTATATCCATGGAAGCCCCTATAATACTTGTGTCTACTGTAAATTGATGTAGACATTTCTCCTGGACCTTACATTTGTCGGCTATGATGCTCCTTCAACCTAATGGGAATTCATGGTTTTGTAGGAGGTCTGTTGTGGCTGATAGCATCTCGGATGCTTTGGCTATTCTGCCTAAATCAGGTTTGAAAGTATGTGTAGTCTTTTAAGAGGTGAATAAAGATGGCTGGAAGTTCCTTAATGAATGTGACCTACTCACATGGTAGAGTGAAAAAAGCACTAGATTTGAAATCAAAAGACACTGGTTTAAATCCTGCCTCTGATAATGTCATCTGTGTTACTCTGGATATGTTGCTTAGCCTTTCTGAGTCTCAGTTTCCAAATTTGGAAAGTGGAGATGGGGCAGGAGTGGACTAACTTGCTTCCAAAGTCCTTTTCAGTTCTGAATTTATAAACTTTAATCCTATTTAAAACAAAACAAAACAAAACTGCAGCTAGTTAAATTCTACAAATACTTAAATAGCACTCAAATGCAAGACATTATGGGGCCAATGGGAATAAATTGATTGAAGTAATTACAAAATTTTTGCCCTCTAAAAGCTTACAATCTAAGGGGGAAATAATATACACACAAATAAATGTGAGAAACAATGCAATGACAGCAAAAGTTTACCAAACTATAAAATAGAAGATACAATGTCATCACAGTGTTCATCCTGAATTATCCATATCCTACCTAGTGCTAGTTGGACGGTAGAGTGGATAAAGCCTGGCCATAGAGTCAGGAACATCTCAGTTCAAATCCAACCTCAGATACTTACTAGCTGTGTGAACTTTTGCAAAACTTACCCTCTGTTTGCTCCAGTTTCCTCAAATATACAATGGGAATAATAATAGTTTGTACTACCCAGAATTGTTTACAGGATAAAATCAGATATTTGTAAAACACTTTAGAGCATAGTAAGTACTATAAAGGCTAGCTATTATTATTATAAAAATTGATTAATTTTACAGTTATATAGACTAGAATACATTTAAAGTAAGAATACATTGTGTATGTAAAGTACACATTCATTGCTTTCATTTAATGAACTTCATAATTTGTTTTTTCAACCAATGATTCCAATGACCTTGAGTCAAGAAGACCTGAGCTTAAATCTGGCCTCAGACACTAACTAAGCTGTGTGACGCTGAGCAAGTCACAGAGAGGTTGTCTCTGTCTCAGTTTGCTCATCTGTAATATGGGTATAATAATAACACCTACCTCCCAGGGTCGTTGTACAGATGAAATAAGATAATATCTGTAAGTCACATTTCAAACCCTAGAGCCCTATAAAAATATTAGGTCTTATTAGTAGTGGTATTAGTAATTAAATAAAATGTGAACATTCAAAATAAATAAAAATGAAAAGATGAAAGTTAGAAGCACTCAATAAATCTCTGATCATTTTCCTTTGCACGTGTTTTAATTTTAGCTCGAGCCTAAAATAGCAAGTATTTTTAAAGATACCCTTAGTTACCACTGTGACCACTCTGTTATAACTCTAAAGTAGCTTGGAGGAAAAAAATTCTACCATTCTTGAAAAGATGGGTTTTTTTTTAGGGAAGAAACTCCTTTCTTAACTTTTTTCTCCTACCTATTCTTTTTTAATGCACTTCCTGATATGATAGATAATGTCACTTATAAGTTTTGAGCATGTAGTTATGTACCAATAATTTCAAAGGTCAGAACATTCAGTCAGAATGCTCATTAGATTATTGTGGCCTACATCCCCTTCTATAATTTTTCAGATATCCAGACATTTGTCTGCACACACAAGACAGTTGCGGCTCTCTGCAGAGACTTAAGCAAAATCTCCATTACAATGTATTGTCTCCTCTCTGAATGCTCTACATTTTCACTTGTCTTCACTATATTAACTGATGTCATCTCATGGATTTTTAGTCTTGTCTAAACGCCTCGTGCAGTGACACTAATATAAAAAGGCATATCATGAGGTGTAGTTACTAATATATAACACTAATTAGATAAAACATTGTTTTGTCTGGTACTACCATGTTATATAAAAAAATGCCCTCATATATTCATTTAAAGTCAACATGTTCTATACGTACAGTAATATATTTTGAAAGGGAAGTTAGTTAACTCCTTTTAATGCATATGAAAAGTGGCTTCACAGTTGCCATATATCACCAAGCTATTATACAAATCTAATTTCATGAATGAAGCTTTGTTTGAGCAGCAAAATTTTAATGATTAAAATGAATATAATCACTTGGGAAAGGTAAGAATGTTAGTTTCCTTTTAGCAAAAAAAAAAAGCCAAAAATAAAAAGACATTTTGTCAATTCATGGCGCTTCACGATTTTGTTTCTCACACGTATTATCTGGAGGAGAGGGGCAAGCATAGAAAGCGCCTCACAGGCATGATACTAACATGAAATAAATCAATGCGATGTCATTGACTGATAGGACCTTTACTGAATTTCATTTCCAAACATCTCAGGTTCAAGGTGTAGAATGAGAAAATGAAATAGAAGAGAGAATGGGGCTACTTTATCCAATCATATCAATTCATATATATTTATTCAACACATATTACATCATGTTTTTAGCACTGCAATAGTGGAAGAAGCAAAGAACTATAAGATTAAAAAAAATTGTTCTTGTCCTTAGAAAGCTTATGATCTAATCAGAAAAGTCTAGACTAAGCAATAGATCGGATGATACCTATAAGTCGAATATTTGGTAAATAAGAGTGAGATATAAAACCAAATAATAAATGTAAAACAAAATGTAATTAGGTTAGAATTGCAGCATAGCAAATAGAGAGCTAGACTCAGCAAAGGAAAGTAGGTTCAAATCTTGCTTATTACACATACTAGCTGTGTGACCCTAGGGAAGTCACATTACCTCTCAGTACTCTAAGCAACTCTCTAAGACTATAAGTTGAAGAGAAAAGCATCAAACTACACTGGTAGAAAACATTTCCTTATCCCTACCCTTCATCCTATAGTTAGGTCATAAATTGTGTGCCATTGACTCTGAAGTGCTATAGGACATCAGAGGGGAGGAAGATGAGGGCTGAGGCAGTCTAAGAAATCTTCCTGTGTGAATTTTAAAGAATTTTAAAGAATGACTAGAGTCATTAAGGGGATACCCATCAGTTGGGAAATGGCTGAACAAGCTGTGGTGTATGATAGTGACAGAATGTATTATGCTGTATAAGAAATGACAAGCAGGATGATTTCAGAAAAACCTGGAAAAAGTTACATGAACTGATGCAAAGTGAAGTGAGCAACCAGAAGAATGTTGTACACAGTAACAGCAATATTGTATAATGAACAACTATGAATGATTTAGCTATTCTCAGCAATGCAATGATCCAAGATAATCCCAAAGGACTCATAATTCAGTATGTTATTTGCCTCCAAAGAAAGAACTGATTTTGTCTGAATATAGGCTGAAGCATGCTATTTTTCTCTTTCTTTTTTTTTGAATCTTCTTGTACAAAATGACTAATATGGAAATGTTTTACATGATTGCACATGTATAACCTATATGAGATTGCTTACCATCTTAAGGAGGAAGGAGGGTAGGGAGGGAAAAAAGAATAG